CATAACCCGTCAGTTTGGTGTCCTCTTTTCGGGTGGTTTCCGTTTCAATCGCCTCGCCCTCGCTCGACGACTGGTTGCCCTGGCTTTCCTGCTGTTGCTGGCCCCAAGTGAGGCGCGACGAGTAGTCGGTGTACCCAGAATCCGACGGTTTCTGACTCGCCCATCTTGGGTCATTCTTAGTCCGTTGGGTTGTTGTAGCCTCGGCAACGCCTGAACTGGACGACTCGGTTGCCGATGAATTGTTGTCGTATGCACCGAGGGTTGTTGGAATCGTCGAGTTGGTCGCGTTGGCGACTGCCGAGGTTGACTCGAAGTGGGCGTCTTGGGTCGAGCTGGCTGTCCCGTCGTCATGATTTGTGGTGAGGCTGGATGACCGAGGCTCAGGACCAACGGTGGAGACGTCTACGGGACTCTGGCCGTCCGGGGACGAGGGAGCGGAGATTTCGTCGAGTCGGTGGCTCGCTTGCACTCGACTGCCGCCGGCCGAATCCGTGATCAGCAGTTGGCCGTCCACTTGGACGGAACTGAATTCCGGGCCTGAAAGGGGGCTCGGACTCGAAATGGTACCATTTGACGCCGACTCGTCGGAGGGAGACGGCGCAGCAGAAGGGTCGCCCAGCATTGTTAAGCTGTCGTCTGTCTGTCCGGACGTGTGTGTTGGCGCATCTGCCTCAGCTGAGGCAGTGGGATCAGGCTGCATCGAAGGGGGATGATCCGATGCCACCGCTTCGCTTGTGTCTGGAGTGACGGTGGCCGAGACGACGGTGTCATTGAGACCTGTACTTTGAGCCGAGAAGACCTCAGACAAATTGGAAGGACGGAGTTTGCTGCTGTCTTCAACTGCCTCAGTTTCTACGACCTGCTCGGTGTTGATGTTCTGCTCATTCTCTGTCGCCCCTGATTGTTGACCATCCAAAACGGATTCTACCATTCGGCTTTGCGACTCATTTGTGGCCGTCTTCAAGACTCTAAATTCCACGCTAGTCGACATGGTTGTCATCGGCTCAGTTGTCATGGGCTGTGTCGTAGCGACTGATGCATTGAGATATTCCGGCAGAGCAGCAGATGACGAGTTCCCCTCGGAGCCTGAGAGCACAATTGTTTCTGGCGGAATGGGGTTTGGGCTGGAATCGGTCCATCTAAGGGTGGGGTTCTGCAGTTGCGTAAGGTCATTTTTGGCACCGGCAACCTCCACGTTGCCTAGGCAGGTTGTCGGGACTCCTGTGGTCTGATTGTCTGTCGAGCACATTTTGGGGGTCGTGGAAGGCATTGCGTTACTCACTGTTGACGAATTTCCTGTCTCGTTGTAAGCATACTCGAGAGCCTGAAGGGCGGCCCTTAGGGAATCGGGGTCTTGTGTGAAAAAGGTGTGATTTTCGCCGATGAAGGCATCGGCGGGGGTCAAAGTCAACCCGGTTGAGGCCTCCTGCGGCACAGGGTTGGAGGAGACTGTGACCACAACTCCGGCGATGGCAGATGTGGGCCCCACTTCCGTGACAGAAGTTGTTGTAGCCTTGCCTGACACGATGTTCGTCACGAAGTCTGGCGCTTGCGTGCGTCTCGAACCTGATTCTTCACCGGTTGCGTTTTCGGGTTCAGAAGAGGCCTTGTCTTTGATCAACTTGACCAACTCGAGGAGGGCTTGGTCACCCACATCCAACGAGCCCTTAATTTTGAGTAGGGCTGTCCGGTTTTCTGCAGCTTCTGTTGAATGATTTGTGTCTCTACTCGACTCATTGGTGAAGCCAGCTTGATCGGGCATAGCAGAGGCAACATGTGAATCCACACTCGTTTCTTCAGACCTAACAACAGTTGGCTTTGGGCCGAATTTTGAGGGCTCGACAGTCTGTAGGGAATCTGAAGAGGCTTTGAGTGCCACCGTCGTCTGTGACAAAAAGGTCATATTAGTATCTTCTTGTTCAGGTTGCGGATGCATGGATGTCGTCGGCAATCGGATCACGGTCTGACCTTTGGTTATGCAGCGAACCGGGTGTGGGGTTGTAGGAGAGGACTGCTGAACTGATCCGGTCTCGTCTGCGTCAATATCGGAGCAAGACGAGTTTGTAGTATTTCCAGTCTCTGTCGGAGTGGAGATTAACGTCTGAAAAATATCCGATGAGGAAGAGTTCTCCAGTTGCATGTTCATCGTGGCTTCAAATAAAGAGATCAAGTTGACAATGATGCCGATAACACAATGCTAAATGAACAGTGGCTTTCTGTAACATGCATAAAAATGTATCCTCATAAAAATTGGACAACGAATTTGTCTAAAATTAGACAAGATGAATAAAAATGTGTATATTTCTGCCATATATGTACATAAAAAGATAGATAGATAGATAGATAGATAGATAGATAGATAGATAGATAGATAGATAGATAGATAGATAGATAGTTTCAGTTAAATTGCTCACGTAAGCCAGGTTAAATGGCAAACAGTAGAGAGGACCGAAGGATGCACGAAGGACATAAGACAAATTGAGGTAGATGGATAGTTAAAACTATGGCTAAGGATAACAGTTCGAATATGGCAAAAGATATAATTAAAAAGTGAAAAATATACTTCGTTTTTTTTGCTCTGTAAGCACTTTGACTTGTTGAATAATCTCATGCACGTGAAGCTGTGAATATTTTCAATGCAATTTATAGTAGCATGCAGAAGCAAAGGGGCGGCACAGATTTCTGCAGGAGCATGCATCGAGTAAATAGTTTTAGAAGCATTCAGAACAGTTAATGCAGAGGTATGATGCAAACAGCAACATAAACTCATCTCGCCGGAACACAAAATGCGACTGGCTACTGACCTGTCCAGGGAAGTACGACCTTAAGAACTGAGCTATTTTGCCAACTAATCTCATTTAAGTAGGTCATAACAGCTTGGCTTCCTCCAGAATTCCATATTTCGAAATTATCAGAAAGCCTTGAATCACAAATTAGTCCCCCTACATCGTTTAAGTACCGAAAGTAGAATATTTCTCATTATTATAGGAGTAGGATGAGTTGGGCGAAATTCACTAACACGGTTTGGCCTAATCATATTGTTGAGAAAGGAAATCCACATCCATACCCTAAATTACCTCAAATGACACGGAATGACTAAGGATTAATCAAAAATAACGTATAGTTCAAAGTATACCCTTCGCAGAAGGTAAGTATGAATATGTCTTTGGCTCATCGACGATTCCACTACAAATGTAAGTAAACCTTGGCAAAGTCCCATCTTGACGAACAATTTCATGACAAAACTTGAGAAACAACTCCGGCAAGAGCAAATACTAAATCCCAAATTGTCGGTTAGATACATGGATGACTATTTTATCATTTGACCTCATGGCTAGGCAAGTTTAGATACTTCATACTTTCACTTAGCCAACGTGAAAGGAACATTAGGTTTGGAATGGAAATTGAAGAGGAAAGGTCTTTATCCTTTTGGGATGCTATGATTATTAGAGAAGATGGTATGTTAGGAGGAGGTGTTTGCTCTTTTCTTAATTTTCTTTCCAACCATAGTTGCAAGGTTAGAATTTTGAAGTCAATGATTACTAGGAGCATGAGGCTAGCGGATAGCAATCATCTGACTAAAGAGTTGGAGCGGCTGACAGATTTATTTCTGGAGGATACTTGTCCTTCGGGCCTAATTGAGAATAATATCTCTCTACTGAGAAATACATTTTCAGACTGTGAATATTTAGTCAAGGATAGACAAGCTGACATCTTTTCTCATGGCCTAATTTTGCCGACATGCCTTCTTTCTACGAAAAGAGGTGAATTAGTGAGAGAGTGAGGGATAAAAACAGTGTTTAAAGAAACCCTCACACTTTCATCTGCCATGCCAGCTTTTGGAGGTAACTATGCTGCAT